CTTCAGCTTCAGCGTGCGGCTGATGGCTGATGGCATCGTTAGACAGAGAGGGAAGGCATGAAAGCATCAGAAAGAGGGAGACAGACTCTGTCCGACAGATTGGCAGACAATCCACCCACACACACCCATACACACCCACACACACACACACACACATGCGTTGCTGTGGGAGTGTGCTTCGGTGCCACATATTTGGCAATGACCATCTGAGGGCAGCGGAGACGAGCAGCGGCTGGGAGGGAGGCAGATTATTAAAACGAATTTCACACAAATTCAATCTGCATGTAATTTGGAATTATGGACAGACCAGCCGAGACAGCTCTCTCCCTCTATCCCCCTCTCTATCCCCCTCTCTCTCTCTCTCGCTCGTTCCTTCTCGCTCTATCTCGATATGCAGCGATACGGAAGCCAAATCTTTGAACCCTCCGAAAAAAGGGTTCAACATTTTTGTTATTCTTTCGTTTATGAAAATATTGACCAGCCGGTGGACGACAGATTAAATTTTTGCTTGCGAGATTTAATGGAGGGGCAGGTCGTAATTCAATGCACGTGCTGGCGGCGGACACTGCCACTCCACGAGGCACAGACAAAGGCGACGAAAGAACAATGAATGGGTGGCCCGGGAAGGAGGCCCAGGGTCAGACCGCCCTCCCCGCCAACCCCCGCCACCCGTATGTATATGTCAACGCGTTTTATTTGATATTATTTGATGCGTGGGCGTTCGGGGAGGGGTTGTGGGGGCTGTGGGGACTGTGGCATGACCACGTATTCCACATGTATTCTTCTTTACGAGAAAGGATAGGTCATTGTCCCGGGAGGAACGGACACCTTTAATGGGTGCCATAATCCCGGGGCGAAATAAAAAAGCGACGTGAAAAAAGTTGTGTTCCAAGGGGGCACCCGGATTTGAACCGGGGGCCTCTCGATCTGCAGTCGAATGCTCTACCCCTGAGCTATACCCCCAACTTGAAAACAGGCGCCACTGAGATGTATTTCAAACCCGAATCCGAGACCGAGTTCGAGATAAAAAGCCACCCAAAATAGGCACCGAAGCGGCATCAATATCTGGCAGATTGTTTATCAATTTACACGGACGGCCTGGAGTTGAATGGAACGCAAATAGTGTAGTGCTCGTCCCACAGGGGGGCAAAGGAGTGCCCAAGGATCTCGTGTACGGGTGGGCAGGGGGATGTGTAGGAGAACTTATTTTTGTATCTTTGCTACGTGCCTCAATGGGAATGTCAATCATTTGCAGCCTCGTTCTCTGCGTGTGCATGTGCGTGTGATTCATACTTTTCCATTGAGTCTCTCGCTTTGCCTCTTCATTGATTCTTTTGCCTTCTTTGATTCCGATTCTTGGAAAATCTTATCACAGAACAAGTCTGGGGGCTGGTGGGGGGGCAATCTCTTGCTCAACTGATAGCTCCAGAGCCCCGGACAGATGTTTTTGTCAGAAATCGAGACTTTCTCGTACCAAAGATGCAGGTCACAGAGGAGCAGCAAAGGCGGCATTTTGGGGCAACACTTTGGCAATAGTTGCGACATGAGCCGTGAACTTTAAAGAGCGTCCAATCGATCGATCGATGGCCAGACAAAGAGCCAGCCATAGCCACCGCCACGGACACAAATTGCCACAATTTTAAATTTGAAACCAATGCCAGCTTCCGCATTGCATAGAAACAGAGCCAGCGGAAAGAGAGAGAGAGAGAGAGCGATGGAGCAGAGGGTGTCCAATGGGGGGGGGGGGAAAGGGTACTGGGTGCTGGGTGCATGTGTGGTCTATTCAATTTCCGGGCGTATGGTGCGGCCAGACGTGCAGACACATGTTTCCCCCCATGTTTACCAAGCAGCCAACGGCCTTGCCACAGAACACGCACCGACACGAACGCTGCATGCAAATCTGCAGCATTTATATTTAAAAGCAGAATGCAGAAGCCCCTCTTCAGACAGACAGTTTTCATCTTCGTTGTGGCTCGGCGCTCGAACTTGGCCAAAAAAACGGCTTGACGTGTTAACCGATAAAGAAATATGGCCTCCCAGCTGCTGCACCGCCCACTGCTGGTGGTCTCCACCCTCCTGCTCCTGCTCCTCCTCCCCTCCGCGCCAGTGCAGGCCGGCTACAGTTCCTCCGGCGGCGATGAGTCCTCCGGCGGCAGTGCCTCCAACTCGATTGGGACCAGCAAATGCGACAAGAACCCGCTGGCGGAGCTCACCTTTCAGCTGAGTGGCAGCAACCTCCACTGGCCCTGCGACTCCACCAAGAACATCTACGTGCAGTCCGGCCGCTATGTGCCCCGCAACGTGATTGTCACGCGGGCCCAGCTCCAGAGGGACTCGGCATTTGTGGCACTGCCGCGCTACAAGCAGGGCGTGCCCTTCACCCTGGGGAAGGTGAATCTGAAGAAGGGCGAGTGCCTCGCCAAAATCGCACCGTATCCGTGCTGGGCCATACAGGAGGAGGGCAACTGCCAGGCGCTGCAGTCCGTCGTGGATCTGGCTGTCGATCAGAACGTGAGTGCAATTAACTTTAGCATTGTTTCAGTGGAGAAATTGGAAAGTGGACAGTGGAAAGTGAAGAGCGTCTCTCTCTCATCCAAAACTGCAATTTGTTTCATTAATTCTGCATTGCCACGTTGACACTTTGCGCGCCTCTTTGATGGCTTTAAAAATGCGTGTTTCCATGCATTTTTTGTGGGCTAAAGGAGAGGGTAGCAAAGGGTACATGGGCTAGCAGACGAAGACGCTACTTTGGGGCACAACCCACCCTCTATCTCTCTACGGGAATAAGCCCCTCTGTCGCATACAGGGTACCTTTTGAGTCTCGGACTCCCCCTGAATTCCCCCTGAATTTTTTATCGCTTCTCAGCGAAAATGGCTTTTTTAATCAAATGAACGACAACACGAAAAGCTTCAAATAAAGTTCATGGCGGGCAATCGGTGCCGAAAAAGTCAACGGAAAGAAATAAACGCAAGGAATGACAAAAACCCCCCGCCATAAAAAACGGAACTGCAGTGTGAATGGAATATTATAAAAAGGGCAAAAGGTCGTCCTCCCCTATCCTGCCAGTCCTTAAACGACGAACTGCGAACTGCAGCTGAAGCACCATGTAAATGCGATGCAAAAAAAGTTCTGGGAATTAATTTTTGAAGCGTTATGCCAGAGTCAGTGCCAGGGCCAGTGCCAGAGCCAGAGCCAGGGCCAGGGCCAAGCGCCTGCCTGCCTGCCATTTTGATGAGCCATTGGCCAAAGCTCTTTTTGCGATTTCAATTAACAAACAATCTGCTATGGCTATTGCTGCTGCTGCTGCTGCTGAAATGCTTGACAGCTTTACATTTTTGTGTGTTTGTTAAATACTTAAATTATGGCAAAGCGCGAGAGAGATGTGATCGATGGGTGTATACCCAGGGGTCACAGAAGACTGCTTCATCGGGTGCCAAAGTTTGCTGTATGACAAACAGGCGTGAATGGAGTGCCCAAAGAGGTTATTCCTATACCAGGGGAATGAGCAATCTTCGTTTCTTGAGCACCCTTATCCAGGGTATTCGTCTCTCCTCGTGTAATCCCCCTCCTCTGCTCCACCATTCAATTCCTGGCTCATTTAAATGCCATCCACAGAATTGCATTCCTCGCTTTAGCATTTCGATTGTGCAAAAGCATTTCATTATTTTATTTACACAAAAGTCACAACAAAAACAACAAGTGCATTCAACAAATATTGAAATACCCACATATCTGATGTGATGTTATGTGATGTGATGTGCTGCAGTCGGCAATAAAAACAATTGAAATGTGAGAAGAGGAGAGGAAAAAAGTGGTGGGGAGGGGAGAGGAGAGGAGAGGAGGGGAGATGTAAAACAACAATATGAATAGCAATAACTGTCAGACAATAGCAACAATTGGGTGGCATGGCATGCGAATTTATTTATTTATTTGTGGACACAATTTTTGCAATACACAAGAGATATTAATTTGATTGTCATTCAGCGGGCGATGAGTGCATTTCGATGCGCCGTCCATTGGCATTTCAATGGACATGCAAACACGAATTAAGGATACGTTTTGATGGCTTTTTCTTGATGGATTGCAGGGTCTGCTCTGGGCACTGGATGTGGGCATTGTCAATACGCTGGAGCAGCCGATCCGTCGCTGTGGCCCCAAAATAGTGGCCATCAACACGGCCAACCACAAGGTGGTGAAGAGCATCGATCTGAGCGATCTGGTGACCGCCGAGAGTCGACTGCAGTTCATAGTCGTGGACTATTCCAAGGACAACAAGCCGTTTGTGTAAGTCTGCGGAATATGCCCTGTAATCTGTATCTGTATATGTGAACCGTGTGTTATCCCTGCAGCTATGTGGCCGATGCTGGGGCTCGCAGCATTCTCGTTTATGACATCACTGGGAACAAGTCGTACCGCATTGTCCTGCCCAAGGCGACGGCCCCCACCAGCGACGTGCTGTATGTGGCACTCACCTCCAAGGCGGATGGCACCTCCACGCTGTTCTTCAGCTACCTGAGCTCGCCGCGACTGTACTCGATCAAGGGCGAGTACTTGCGCGTGGGCCAGGGAGCGGGATCCATCATCGACGTGGGACCCAAGCCGTACGGCAAGCAGGCCGTGCTCCTGGGAGCCGATGGCGGCACATCGCTGTTCTTCCGCTACAAGGGCGAGAACGACATTTATCTGTGGGACTCGGAGACGTGCTTCAAGGCCTCCAATCTGCAGGAGGTGCAGCGCGGCGGCGACTGCCGCCTGTCCACCCAAGTGCTGCCCGGACACAAGCGCTTCATGTGGGCGCTGGAAAGTAATTTCCACGACTTTATCTCGGATCGGACTGGATGCAATGGTGCCTCCATTGTCCTGCATCCAGTGGTGAAGGAGTGCGATGACTGATCATCGAAATGCCTTGCATGATTGCTGCTGCGGACTGCAGTTTATTTATGGTTAAGAATCTGCTCGAACTGTTTTTTGTTATTTGGGAGAGTAAATCGTTTTTTGTTCAACAAGTTCCTGCCTCGCAAATTAATTTCGAGAGGCTGAAAATCGTCCCGATGGGGCACGTTCCGGTGGGGGAGCGCTTCATCGTTGCCCCAACCGCATCGCAATGATAGAAGGTCGAGCAGTCGGTCAAATCGCCAACCATGCCCACGCGCTGACAGATGCCGGATCCAGTGGTGGCCCCCGAATCAGAGGGCACTTCTCCGTCGGCATCTACGGTGCCTAGGCGGCACACCAAATGCTGGGCATCAAAGTACGAGCCATCGGGGCAATTCTGCGTCTCCAGGGTTCCATTGATGCACAGGCAGTACTCATCGCTGGCCGTGGAATCGGGACACTTGGAGATGGCGAAATTCGAGCAGGATCTAGCCACGGGGGTGCTCCTGGGCGTCAGATTCCTGGTGGGAGTCACACAGCTGTAGCCGTTGAAGACGTATCCCTCGGAGCAGCGCAACAGTAGCGGGAATAAGGTGCCCTCCGAAGAGGTATCCCTCTGGCAGATGTAGTAGAATCGACTGTCCGCCGGCCAGGCGCCCGTCTGCCCTGCACGACTGCAGGCGTACTGGACGTCCGAGCACTGGTCGCTGTCCTTCGGCAGGGTGCAGCTGTCGGTGAGGGTGGAGTACGCGGCTCCATTCGCACACTGGTGGGGGGTGTCCACGTTCTGGGCGCTGCACTCGTGGTAGTTGCGGCATTCGTACGGATCTGGGAACATTCCCGGCTGCTGGCAGTAGAACTTTCCGCGCTTTGGGACGTGGCACTTGGACTGCCAGGTGCAGCCAAAGGTGCCCTCGTCCGTGCAGTAGAAGCTGTGATCCGACTCGCACGTCATCATCGTTTGCGTCTCCCACTGGCCGTTGCCATCGTGCAGGCAGTAGCCCAGCGTGGAGCAGTCCACGCAAATGAAGCCAGCCACACGCACATCCTGACAGGGATTGGACGCCTCTCTAGCTCCCAGATCGAAAGGATGCACTGCCGCTCTGCCGGCCAGGCACTGCCCAATGAGCAGCAAGAGTAATTGAAAGGATGGCCCCATCTTGAAGACTGTGATGCGGGACTCGTTTGGCCAGGTCTTATATAGCGCCTCATAATCGCAGGGGAGAATGTTTTGCACTTAATTGAAAAAAGATAAACCTGGAGAACTTCTGCAGAATAATGGATACTTCCGCAGTTCCAGAGATCTACGGCCGACCTTGGCTTCGTCGAAGTTCAAAATTTGATTTAGAGGCGAATAGTGAGACACACTCGTATCTGCGGTAAGGTACACTTCGATTCTTTATTTATTGATAATTATTACAATCGTCGCTAGCAAATACAAGTCACGAAATACACCGAACCACCTTCAGGGCTCAGCAGGTGCCCAAAACACAGGAGGACTGCTCGGGTCGGTAGTAGGTGCCGTCGGGGCACTGCATGTGCCGGAGGCTGCCATTCAAGGCCGAGCAGTAGTAGTACTTCCTGCAGTCATCCATGTCCGCCATGAGACCCACGTGCTGGCAGCTGCTGGGCATCACCGAGAAGTCATTGTCATTGGGGTCAACGACCTCCCCCGGCTGTGAGGGAACTTGGGGCAGCGTGTTGGTGGTCGAGCGGCAGACAAAGTCCACAAAGGTCTCTCCGTCGTTGCAGCGATGCAGCGAGGGATAGATGACGATCGTGTCGTTCAGATTCTGATTCACCGTCGACTTGCAAACGTAGAAGATGTTGGAATTGGTGGGCCATGGGGCCACGTAACCGGCATGGGGACAGTGGTACTGGCTCTGCAGGCAGACGGGATCTTGGAGCGTGAGCGTGCACTGTCCGGTGCTGGCATCGAAGGCCTTGTCGTTGCCGCAGTCGACGGCAGCGGCCACTAAGGTGGCGCCCACAAAATAGCACATGTGATACTTCTGGCAGTCGTACGGATCCGGGAAGATGCCCTGCGAGGTGCACTGGAAGTTCCCCTCGATGCCAAACGGATGGCAGGGTCCCGTGTCGTTGGTGCAGGTCCCCTGCCGGGCATTGCAGTAGTAGCCATTGGCCACATCGCACGATTCCACGGGAATGTTCACCCAGCCATTCGAATGGCGGACGCAGGTGGCCAGCAGCTCGCAGGACTCGCAGATGGGTCCAGGCGTCTGACGGCCCTCGCAGGAGTTGGCCTCCCGGGGCTGAACGCGTCGTGTGGTTACCACGGTGGCTGCCATCATCAAAGCCAGAACATTAAGCAGGAGCTGGAATATAAAATGTGATTAGTAAAGCTCTAGGTCTAAGATTGAGGGGATTTTACCAAGCTCAAAAGGAATTTCCTGTGGAACATGATGACGTTTTCTCTTTGTTCTTTTACGTGTGCGCGTCTAGCCGCAATGAGTCTCTCGGTTTGTCTGTGCAGATAGGGCCCCAAGTGGCAGCAATAAACGAGGAACACAGAAATATCAGGTCTTAAGATAGCACGCAGAGAGTCTTCTTTATATCTGCGGTTCGATGCGTGTTTGTTTGCCTATCAACTTTCGAAAGTTAATAGAAGTTGGGCAAAGTACCAAACCAATCAGAGCAGCAACAACTACCAAAAACTGAAACTGGAACTGGAATGCCGCAATGATGAGTAAATGATCCATATTTACCCCAAAAAAACAAATGTGACAACTTCTGACCCTATCTTCTATCTTCGTTCGCGAGAAGTGTTTGTTTAATGGGTAAATAATAGTATAATTGGCATAGAAACAGAGAAAGGCAGAGAAACGCAATGTAGGGCACTTAGAAAATGTTTGCATGCTAATATTTGGCTAAATTTTTACGAAAACACATTCCCTGGCAAAAAACAAAACAATTTCAAATTCAAATATTACCGCCAAACGGTCATACAAAACGATAGAAAGCTATCGATTTATCGAAGTTTACGTACATCCCGAGATAGCGCACGATCTGTGTTTTTTGAACACAGCGACAAACATCGGGTACGCAAACATCGATGTTTTGCGGTCAATTCGGGATATTTTAGCCTCGAAATTTCATCAATCTACTCCATATAATTTTTGGGGGGTATAGAAACTTCCATACGCAGGATTTTTCAATTTTTGCTCTTTCAATTCGTGCCTGAATTCATATCTGTTAAACAATTTCCCTTTGGCGCGCAGTCGATAGTATCGAAGGCCAATTGTTGGGACTTGCTCTCTTTTTGTAGTGGGATTTGCTCTCTTCGTACAAGCTTACGGTTTACACCTTGACCGTTTTTTTAACCTTATTTTATAAACAATCCACTAAAAGGCAGCCCTTACAATTGGAGAAACTTGTAGAAAATTGATTCGTCAATCGGATAAAATCATATGTTCAGGGCTGAGAGGCCCGACTAGCTAGTAATATTAAGCCGCATCTCAAAATCTGGGAATATGATTTCCGATCATGGACAGAGATTAACCCATATTTAAATACCACACGAGCATTCAAGAATTTTAGCGCAGTTCAGGTGTATCTTTGACCTATTTCTTTCCCTCTTTCGTGGTTTTTTTTTGCAAGTAAAACGAAAGGATGGACTAGATCAGCAAGAAGAATTTATAAAAAGTATTAAATTTTGCGGTTTAACTCGAGTGGTGCACGTGTTTAAATAAAGGGTGCTTAAGTGGGTTAAGTTCGTTTTTCCAACAACTTTTCCTTTTTCGAATAAATGAAGAAATTGGCTTGAATCACAGGGAATTTGGAAAATAATTGGCAACAATTATTGTATTACTCATTCGGTAATCGTCGTGTCTGCATTTGCTTTGGGGTACAGCGGACAGCGCCCCATCAGTCGCCCAGGATACACACATCCATTGGCCCACGCGTCGCCAACGATCTGAGTCACAACACAAAGGAGCAGCAGGCACATTGGGTGCAGCAGCAGCAACAACAGACGAGTCGAGACGAGACAATGACTTCAAAGAAGACAAAGCCAATCCCTAAATATAGGAAGCCGGGAAATTTGGAATTTGTGCGCGAGGATGACTACGTGGAGTACTTTATATTCCCGAAGCTGCCCGATAATCTCACGGATGAGTTCCAAGTGAAGGAGAAATTGTTGCGCATCAAAACGGAGATCATGGAGATTGTCAGAGAGCTGGTCGTTCAGCGGAGCTACATTTGGCACAAGGATGAGTTTCAGCTGCAAGTGCGTACTGGCAGTACCTTGGAACGCCTTCTAAATGATGAAACCAATGTGGCGGAAGACGACGAAGATGGTATGACGGGCCCGCCCCATTGAATTCTATAAATAGCCACAAATATCAATCAGAATGTTCTTTCTCTTCAGGGGATCTGCCACCTCATTTGCACGGGGTAACCCACTACGGCGACAACATTGGCGACGAATGGTTTATTGTGTACCTTCTGTTGGAAATATCGCAGGCACGCGGTGAATACATTGCTCGGGTCTGCGATTCCGATGGGGAATTCGTGCTAATCGAGGCGGCCGATGTCCTGCCCGACTGGGCCTCTCCCGACACCTGCGAACAGCGTGCCTACATAGTCAACGGTGCCCTCCAGCTGCTGCAGAACTCGGCATCCACCAACCCTGACAAGCCCATGCCCGTGCCCATCGCCTTGCAGCGTATTCGTCTCAATCCCAACCTGTATCGCTGCTCCACCGATGTCCAGAACGTACTTAAGACCCGTCTCAAGGAGTTCCTGATTGCCATGCCCCACTACTCCATCCATCGCCAGATCGTGGAGGTGCCGCACAGTGCAGCGCAGCTGCTGAAAACACGCCCCCAGCTAGTGGCATCAGCTGTGAGGGCGTTCTGCGATCGCGACACCGAGGACATCAAGGCGTTGAGAACCATGAAGTTTTTCCCACCGGAGGCATCTCGTGTCCGCACAAATGTCCGATTCACCCGCTGTCTGTACGCCATGGTGATGCACAACCAGTACACGCCGGAAAGGCGACTCGGCTGGAAGATCGCCGACGAAGTGAGCCAACCAGAGCTCCACAAGGAACAGATTCTGGGCGTTAAGTTGGCGTGCGGCCTGGAAATCCTAGCCACCCAAGCCCAGCGCGCAGGAGATTGTGCCCTGGAGGATCAGCCTGCCTGGCGGGCGTATCTGAGGAGTCTCGAGGGCAAAGGCTACTTCCGGGACAACATCGAGGGCAGTGCGGAGCACACGCGCCTGCTTGGCAAGGCCCAGGAGTACTTCAAGGGAAATCAGGATCGGTTCCGCACCGCCAAGCGCGTGGGAGCCGAGGTTCTGGCGCTGATGCTGCACCCGTCCGATACGGCCTCAGTGGCCCTGCGCGATGAACAAAACAATCTACTGCCAAGCGATAAGGATGATTGGCTCAGTATTACCGCCCACGATCTGGATGCTCTGCTCCAGGATCGCTACGGACCGAACAAACTCTACAAGCCAAATGGCGATATGGACGCCGAAGAATTCACGAAGCAGCTGAGCGACTTCCTGGATCAGCAGTCGAACTTTGAGGGCATTGAACACGCCGGTTGCGAAGCCCCCGACTTGGACTCCGATGATGACGAGCCGGCGCTGCGGCAACCAAAAGCATCCACGTCTCAAGGATCGCAGCTCAGAAAGAATCAATCCATGCGCAAGGCCTGTAACCGCAACTCTTTAATCCAATCGGAGGAGGCGGATAGCACACACGTGAGGAACTTCCTGGACTTTGTTATCCCAGAGGACAACTGGGACTCCAACTCCGAGATGAGTGACTACGCGGATGACGACGATATCGAGCGCAACTTCGATGCTTTGTCCAGCTCAAGCACCGGCTTCCCGCTGGATCGCAGCATCCAGGCGTACATGAAGAAAATGGATCGGGAATTGTCGCAGACCACCATTGGCAAGTCCTTCCAGGGCAAGAAAGCCGCCACCCAGGCAGATGAGGATGATTTCGATGACATTGAAGACTTTGAGCCCATCAATATAAATGTTAACACGCTGAAGAACATGATGGACAGCTACAAATCGCAGGCGGGTGGCGCAGGCCCGGTCTCCAATCTGCTCAGTGCGATGGGTGTGGGCATGTCGGCGGCAGCGGCAGCGGCAGCAGCACCCGAAGACGATGCCAATGATCTATCAGAGTCAGCCGTGTGAAAGGGTAGTAGGATGGAAGCATACAGGTATCTTTTATCATTATGTCGTTAAGCGAAATGAATTAAAAATATGTATATTATATGTATGTGTATAATTGATCAAACATCAAACATTGAGAGTACTTATACTAATTTCGATTGCTAATCCTTGGATGCTGGCACAAAGTTACCGTAGTCCCGTCTGACCTTGATCGGTGGCTGATCTCTGCCATGCGAGTCGTTGCGCGAGGATCGTTGATCGAAGGAACGTTTGCGGTCGCCCCCACCAGCACCACCACCATGGTGGTGGTCGTCTCCACCGCCACCACTGCGCTCATAGCCCCCGTCGCCATCTCTACTACCGCCTCCATGATGATGGCCACGATCTCTGCGCTGATATACATCGTATCTGTTCCGATTGCGATTGTGATTGTCTGAAAGGAAAGGATACACAACTATATGCAAAGGAAACCACTTTTGGACTGGACGTACCTCTGTATCCCCCCCTATCGTGGTTATTGTGATGGTATCCTCCGCCTCCGCCTCCTTCACGCCTGTTCCAGCCACGATCTCCGCCGCCTCTGCGATTGCCATTGTATCGATTGTTACCAGAGTATCCTCTGCCACCACCGCCGCCTCCTCCCCCACCGCTCATCCAGTTCCCGACTATTGGCGGCCCGGCCACTGGCTTGCTGCAGTGTGCCATAAACTCGTCATCGTCTTCTGTGTAGCGCGAGCCAAACTCAGCTTCGCATTCCTCCAGGAAGTTCAGATCCTTTACGGGCTGACGATTTATTTTACGATTCGGATCGACCATATTAACTTCTAGTGGTGGCAGTTTCTAAATATATCGCTGATGGTGACAGTTTCTCAATATCGATGCTGTTATTGAATATAAAATGAATATCGTTGTTGCGTCTAACAGCTCCCGCTCGGGGGACTAACAGTGCTAGTTTTGCGCCTAACAGCACGCTGTGGGCGAGTGGAAGGAAAAACACGATAAATTGCAAGACTGCGGGTTGCGGGGGCGTTTTTATTAAAGAAAAATGCCATTAATTAGTCAAATGTACATATCCAAATGCACCGACATCCAGCAATAAGCAGTGTATCATGCCGCCGCATCGTGGCCACAGTCAAACGCAAAGAAATAGCAACGCACACAACCTGTACGACACCACGCGAAGGAGGAGCAACAGCAGCCGCAGGAGGCGACTTCAGTAGTCATGGAGCAATCGGTGTCCGCACGCTGGCTGCGACGATATCGGCCGGTTTTGATCATCCTAGTCCTCATCTTTGGCATCCAACTGTTCCTGGCCTACAAGTCGGTGGACATTGGTGGTGGCAGCGGCTCCGGACTGGACGTGGACGCCGCCCAGCGCTCGCAGCGTGATCTGGCCTCGAATCCGGTGATAGCGGAGCCGCCAGAGAGCCTCCCCCGTCCTGCCAGGCTAACCGCCAATCAACTGGGCTTTCAGCCCGAATGTGATATCCAAGCCAAGGAAGCAATATCGGCGCTGCAGCGCGCCAAAACGAAAGACTGCCGCCAACATATCGCACAGATCGCCTGTTCCATACAGGCGGGTCGCTTCTATGCCATCCAGCTGAAGAGCAGCTGCCCGTCGGGCAACCACACAGCCAACGTGTCCCTCGGCTGTTATCGCGACGAGAAGGATCGCCGCCTGCTCGGCGGCTACTACACCAGCTTCAAGAACTCCAATTCTCCCAATCTCTGCCTGGAGCTTTGCCTGCAGAGCGGCTATCCCTATGCCGGTGTGCAGTATGGTCGCGAGTGCTTCTGCGGCTTCGATACTCCGCCCAAGGCCGCCAAGCTGCCGGACTCCAGTTGCAACATCAAATGTCTGGGCAATGCCAGAGAGATCTGCGGAGGCTTCTATGCGATGAACATCTACGAAACGGGCATTGCCAGTGAGTACAGTCGAGTGATGGTCTTTTAACTGGACTCGACACTAAACGAATCCAATCTCTTGCAGAATTCACTGCCCAACTGGCGGCGAGCACCCCACCGACGGGGGCCAAGCGCGTGCGGATTGCATTTCTGCTGACTATCAATGGCAGGGCGCTGCGTCAGGTGCATCGACTGCTGAAAGCCCTGTATGCACCCGAGCATGTCTACTACATACATGTGGACGAGGTAAGTCCGAATTCAAAGTCAATGACCGGATTCCGGCAATTAAAACGTGCGCTTGCTCGACGATTCTGCCAATTTGCACAATTTAATGCTGGACATTTGTTGTTGTAGCTGAAGGCTGGGATGAATTGCTATGAAATATTCATTTGACTGGGGCTGGGGGGTTTTCTTTTAGCGACAAGATTATCTGTACCGCAAACTGCTAGAGCTGGAACAGAAGTTCCCCAACATCCGCCTGGCCCGCAAACGCTTCTCCACCATCTGGGGCGGGGCCTCGCTCTTGACCATGCTGCTCCAGTGCATGGAGGATCTGCTCAAGTCCAAGTGGCAATGGGATTTCGTTATAAACCTAAGCGAGAGCGATTTCCCCGTAAAGACGCTGGACAAACTGGTCGATTTCTTGAGTGCCAATCGGGGCAGGAACTTTGTGAAGGGCCATGGCCGGGAGACGCAAAAGTTCATCCAGAAGCAGGGACTGGACAGGACCTTTGTGGAGTGTGACACGCACATGTGGAGGATCGGAGACCGCAAGCTGCCCGCCGGCATTCAGGTGGACGGGGGAAGCGATTGGGTGGCCCTCTCGCGGCCCTTTGTGGCCTATGTGACGCATCCCAAGAAGGAGGATGAGCTGTTGCAAGCGCTACTTAAGCTATTCAGACACACGCTGCTCCCAGCGGAATCGTTCTTCCACACGGTCCTGCGGAACACCCACCACTGCCACACGTATGTGGACAACAACCTCCATGTGACCAACTGGAAGCGGAAGCAAGGATGCAAGTGCCAGTACAAGCACGTGGTTGACTGGTGCGGCTGCAGCCCCAACGACTTCATGCCAGACGACTGGCCCCGGCTGCTGGCCACGGAACAGAAATCGCTGTTCTTTGCCCGCAAATTCGAGCCGATTATCAACCAGGCAGTGCTCCTGCAGCTGGAGGAGTGGCTGTATGGGCCCTATACCAGCGAATATCTGAACCTCCATGGGTACTGGCAGTCGCTCTACCATCACGAGGATGTGCACGGATCTGCGGATGACCTCGCCAGATCTGTGGGCGACAGCCTAATGCGCCTGGCTGGCGGTCAGGCCAGGGTCGATCCTCTGGAGTTACTGGAGCTCACGCACTACCTCCACCGGGATCAGTACAAGGGATTCCTAGTGCGGTTTAGTGCCAGGAGGGCCACCGGGCAGGATGTGCAATTGGAGACGCGAGTACGACCCGTTCAGCACGGAAAGCTGGCGCGGAATGCTCGCTTCAGCAAGAGATTACGCAACTTCGAGGTCTCCACGGACTTCGACCAGAAGGAGCAGGTGGCGCGCAACTTTGGGAAGCTATTGGGGCCACAGAGTGACTTGGTTCTCAGCTACACGTACCAGGGATCGACGGACTCCGGGGCTGCCTCACACTCGTACAACCTCACGCTGCTGTGGATCGATCCCCTGGGTCGCCTGCAGGACTTCAACGAGCTGCATGTGGAGGACTCGTCCACCGATTTAATCAACCACTCAAAAACTCTGCTCAGTCATCCCATCACACCTGGTGTATGGACAGCGAAGCTGATTGGACGCAGCTCCATCTATGCGCAGCTCAAGTTCCTGATTTCCCCCATGGCCTATGGGAATGGTGAGCCCCTGGAGACGACCCCAGAGGCGGAGAAGCGGAACGGTGGCCTGGGCATAGCCCTGCCGGACGACTTTGAGCTACCAGTGGAGTGGCAGCAGCATCTTCACACCGACGACGAGCAGTTCTCCCTGCGCGAGGAGGCCTTGGCCAACGGAAAACTCACCGGTCCGCCGCTGCACAGGTGGATTGACGATCTGGTGGGTAAATTCTTTCAGCTCAGGGAAAGCTGTGTGGTGGATGCTGGCACAGAACTGTCGCTGCCACTCTGCAGTGACGTCCCCTGGAGCTCGCTGGCCCCCGATCCCAAGAGCGACGTGGATGCCCTACTCAAATGAGGGAAAAGCTCTACTCTTATTAGGTCCATTGTATTGCCATTAATCCATTTTGTTGTTATTAATTTTCTAGTGTAAATACCTTTTCATGTCTCTGGGTGTGTATATCTCAAAGTGCAAGAATCTACAGATTCAGATTCAAAACTCAAAGAATTACTCAATTTTTATGCTCAATGCACCACCAGTAGGGTTTTTTTTTCGTAGTTTGTGATAAATGTGTAAACTTGAAACTAATCGCCATCTTGACTCGGACACTCGGCTTGGGGGAAGCAGCAACAGCAACCCCTTCCAAGTGCAGATCCACCTCTTTGTTTTTGCTTTTTAGAGCATTTTGCAATATTAAATAGCCATTAGATTAAGTTAATGACGAAACAAGGTCGACGTCCGTCGCCTGCTTTGTGAATATGCCGCAGCGCACCGGACAGAACAGGACAGAGACACTCTTCCCCATCCATTCCACTCGCAGAGTGGGGAGCTTGCAACCAAAAATTCGAGATATAAATAAGGTTTAGCTAGATCAAATTCCGCAACTAAGTCATAAGATAGGGCCGTCACTATTAACTCTCGCTATTAAACTCTGTAAGCTCTGTGTATTCATGTAAAGTTTCTTCAATTTTTTGATTCACATATCAATATGCAACGCCAACAAGTTATCCAAAATAAATGAGCAATTCTACATGTACTAAAGTGATCGGTCGGTGAATCGGTATTTCGGCAACAATTTTGTGTAACCAGCACCAGAACAGTGGTTCATCATAATCATAATCTATCTTCATCTGTTGTTTTGGGGGTCGGATTTCTGGACCGGACCTTGCTTTGCTCCTTCCTTGCAGGTATTCTATGAGTTAAGTAGGTTTAGACTTAAATAGACTTAAAGCCAAGGCTATTTGTACTGCCGTTTGCTGCTGGAGCGGACATTAGATGCACAGATCCTCATCGGGATCCTCGTCATCGAAGTCATCATCGGCATCGGGTGTGTAAATTATATTGCCCTCAGCAGGCTCGCTGGTGCTGAAATGGCAACATATTTAGTTGAGAGACAAATCGGAATTCGATGATGGCTCACCGTTCGTATGGCAATGTGAGAGCGTTACGCGCCACTACTTCATCCTCGTCCAGTTCTATTTTGAAGGTGCTGCTGGCCGGCTCTGCTGTCTGATCAGCCTCCGGCGATGGCTGCTTGGGCGAACCAACAGCTGCTGGACCGTCCAGAGGCGTCACTTGAAACTCTGTTTTGGTGATCCGGCACGCGTAGCGTTTGTTGGACACCCCGCCGCCGGGCTTGCGCGATATCAGCGATAGCAGAGTCTCCGACTCCAGGCGGAGAATCAACTCGGCTAGATACTCGCAGCCGGCGAGGATGTACTGCGCATGGTGATGCTGCAAGTGCTGGGGCGAGGCCCAGAGGAACACACGTCGCACGTGCTCCGAGCGACGCAGCCTATTGAGGAAGCTGAAGATGTACGCGGGTGTCTGGTAGCACAGCAGGTCCGCCAATGTGGGCAGTATGATATTGTATTCGGCCTTTGTGCTGCTGGTCCCCGTATCCGTGGTAGGACCGGATTTGAAATCCGCGGCCTCTCCAGACTGGTTGTTGTTGTTGTTGTTGTTGTTGCCGCACTCATTCAGCAGCGCCTCGTAGCTGGACACGTGCCTCAGATTGCCAATTGGCAGCGTTTTGATTGTGCCCGCCTCCTGCCCCTGCTCGTGCAGCAGGCTGTCAATGAACCTAAGGGCAATGCGCTCCCGATTTAGTTCATCTGCAACGAGGAAAACGCAAAGGGAATGTGGCGGCACTGCTTATGCACTTGGCACACTTAATTTGTTGGTTGGGGCTCACCTATTATGAAGACCACCTTTTGTTTGGTCACCAGCAGGTTGGAGAGCATTATATGTGCATTTATTTATAACTATTTATGTGAGAAATCGTACAAAAATTGTACACTTTGCTTTGTTGTTGTTGAGACGATGCGATTTCTGTTAGCCAAGAGGCGTTAGCGTGTTTTGTTAGCAGCGATATTTTACTATCACATGCTGCCAAAATTTCAGAGTCAATACAAGCTAGGTTCGAAAAAATTCCAGAAATGGCTAAAACCGGAACCATAGGGTGAAACTGGAAATGAAGGATGGTCCCAGTGGGAATCGGAGTGGAATCATTTTGAACATTTTTTAAATGCTTATATATGCAGCTATTTATGATATAGCCTTAAATATGCTAAAGCGGCATCAGTGCTGCACAAAATACCAAAAACGAAGGGTCACATTGATTCTGGCTCGTATAATCAGGGCTGGAAAATAGATGTTACTAAAAGTCAGATTGGGAAATGGTAATTTAATCTTGTTAAACTTTTGAATGTTAGTTGAACTGAGAACTCATTTTTACATTTTTCGGCGAAATGTTATTTCTTTGTCTGACCCTCGAATTTTGCTGTCGTTCCAGCCCTAGTATGTCTGTGTCCCGCTTTTTTCCAAATGAGTGAGCAAAGCAAACTTGTGCGAGCATTTAGACCATGAGTGGATCGATTTGTAACTTGAAACCCTTAGAGAGTGAAAGCCACCTGACCTTGCACTTGATTTGATAAGGTAAATAGCCGGTCAATGAATTCATGACGTTGTCGCAGCCGCTGCTGACGTCGCGAAATCTTGTTTTTTTGTGTGTTTTTTTTTTGGCAGCATCTAGTGTTGTTTTGATTATTTGTGTGTCGCGTGTGGTCCAGCAAAACGTTTACAAAATTAGTCAAAGTATAGTACATATTGGACGCTGACTAAGTTTGAACTGTAAGTACTGCTCTACATATACATATTTCTAATCCACGTATTAAAATGTACGAAAGTAGAACGTTGTCTTTCGCTATCTTCCATATCCAACAAGTGGTTCCCAAGTAGTTGTGTGTGTGTGTGTATTACTGTTAGAAAGCGTTTGCGTGTGCGCTTGCATGAGTGTTGAATGTTTGAGCTTTCAAACAAAAGCTCTATTATTGTGGCTTGCAGCCAGCAGGCACAGCAGGCACCCAGCATGGAAGGGCGGGCTCAACAGAGGGTGTAGGGTGCCGCCGCCCACGCAGCAGCCTTTGCAGACATTTTCACTGTTTTTCCTCCCATATGGCAGCGACAGTCATTCGAACGCAATTCGTTCAACAAGTAGAGAGTGTCGCAGCAGAAAAAATTTTGCATTTTTCCATTGTTCTCCGACAACTTAAAGTTTTATAGAGTGCTGAAAAGATAAGAAGAGATTCAACATTTACACCAACAGTATTATCTGAATCGAAAAGAAAGTAATAAGCATACGCCATGTTGTTCTCCCTGGGTAAGTGCCCCATCATCAAAAATCAGTCAGTGCCGCGCGGAGAGGGTGCGGGTACTCGTGTTAAAGAAGGAACTTCAGATGTATATCACATTATTATGCATAGAACATTATAGTCAAAGTCGCAATTGAAATGCAGCTCACTGACGGACGGGGCATCAATAGAGTAAGAGGAATGCAAAAGGTGCCCACCACCCACCTTCACCCCCTTTCGAACAGCCATATCTGGTCTGGTGTGGCATACTAACCAGAGTTTTTCCCCTCACACTCATCTACCCTCGCCCGGACTCCCCCGCCCTTTCATATCCATTTAAATCCGCACTAGTACAAACTAAACAATTAGCTACGCTTTAATAGCACCAACACATTTTGCCGTGCCAGGCAGTAAAAGCTCTTTTGGTGTATACCCTTGAAGGGGGTACATAGTATACAACACGGAATGAAGCATCCCCGAATCCATTAAGTGTACCCAGGAGGAAGTCGGCTGATATAGTCGACACAGCAATGTCCGTCTGTGCTTTTTCTCAACGAAATAGAGCCTTAAGAGTGTACGGTAAGGTCCGATTTAAGTCGGACCACAATGTCATAAAGTTGTCGTTGGAAACACGCAAACACAGTCTAACAAGAAGCCATTTTGAAGAGTCGTCGAATTTCAAGGGTATACAGGCTTCGGCGCGCTGAAGTTGGCTTTGCTGCCGTTTTTAAGCTCCGGCGGGCGGCGGCTGGAAAACTTTAAATTCACTTGCGCATTGCACGTTGAGGCGTTCGGTTGTACTAACTCGTCGTATCGCATCGTATCGTAGGTCGTGTCGCTGATCCCAGTATCGTAGTACCATAGTGCTGTATTTTTTTAGTAGTGTTGTTGTAGAGTTGCTGTAGTGTTGTGTCTTGTGGCAATTAACCGTTAGCGTTGCATGCCATTTGGTGAACTATTGATTAATCAGTGCCCCCGAACCAGAAGCCACCAACCCAACCACCGACCACACCAGAGTCCAGCAACTATGTCAAAGGATTCGGACATAGAGCAGGCGGCGGTGCCCGCGAATGAAATCAAAGTGGAGCCAGTAGCCGCCACGCCAGAGGAGCAGCTAACATCCTCCGGGACGACCACTGCAACGACAGCCACTACAGTGATCTCCGTGACGAATGGGGGAGGAGAGAAGGCGGCGGCTGTGGCGGAGAAGCCGCCCCAGCAGATAACTGCTGTGGAAGTGGCCGCTGTGGCAGCCTCGGCCACAGTAGCAGCAGAACAAGTGCGCCCAGCAACAACCATTGGAGGCATTGAATTGGCAGCCAGCAAAGGTACAACAACCACACACAGCAACAGCCAGCAGCAGGCCAGACCAGACCAGACCAGAGTCAGGGGCAGACAGGTGCAGACAGTGAATGGCTTTGCAATTCGGCTGCAAGTTTGATTAGTGCAAAGTAAAATCAACAACCTGCCAGTGCTACTGCCACTGCCACTGCCAGCAACAACCACAAGAGTTTAGTTTAGTAAAAGTTATAACAAAACGCACAGACAAACACATAAAGAGAGAGAGACCGTTAAAAACTGCATTGCCATTGCCACACCTCCCAACATGCGCCCGCCACGATGATGATCATCATCATCATCATGACGATGAGCACGACTCGACTTCAAGTTGAATTTCACTTTAGTTTTTCAACAGACATACTCGTACTCGCACAGTATATAAGATATACATATACCTATACCTATATATACATATTCATATATAAATCTCTTTGCTTTTCTTTAACTCGCTTTATTTATTTTACTTTTGCTGTCTTCACATTTTTTGTACGCTTTTCCAAAGTCGTCATCGGCGGAGAGGTTTTACTTTTCATCTTTTACGAGTATGTAGATTGTTTCTTTCAAATTTTGCGCACGATCTGTTGCAACGCTTTGCTGATCAGCCCAGACAGACGCCCTGGCACGCCCACTTAACCGTCATAATTAACAATCATAATCATTAATTAATATGCCAATTAATTTCACTTCTGAACGAAAGGATAAACACACAAGCCCGAATCTGGAGCATCGTATTCAAATTTATTGGATAACTGGGGGACACGCGTGCCTTTGAAGCAACGTAATGTCTCTGCCCCATACAGCATACAGCAGCAAGGGGCAATTTACGGCAGTTTACATCTAACAATTTTCCTCACTTTTGATTGAGTTGTCATTTGCATACGAGTATGACAGAGTTCAACATCTGATAAAAGGCCTTTATCGAGGGTGACTGCACCAAAGATTGTAACGTAGTACTACCAAGGTTAATTTGAAGTCTGGGGATACAATTCTTTTAGGGATAGATAGGCAGATAGATAGATAGATGTTTTCCCTAAACACACTTCCAGTCGCCAAATTTCCAGGGGAATTTTTAATTTATTTGCAGGTTTTATGAAGATGCAAGATACAAAATACTCGAACCACGATGCTATTTAGAGCGTTTTGATATCAGTCCGTTGGAGGAAGCCTGCTGGATGCTATCTAACAAAAACATACGAATATTTTGACAGAATGTTCGTTTTTTCGTTCGTTCGCGATAACAGAAAGTTTACTTTCTTTACGGCGTCTTGGCAGACACAAATTTTGACTTCGATAGCATAAATAATTGTTAAATAAACAATCGTAAATGTTTACGTGAGTCTTTTAGGAGAATTCAACCAGATATGGGATTGTAAGTGTAAGAACCGAGTGGTTCCAATAATTCTGTGTGTTTTTTTTAATGTCTAGATCTCGTTCAGGGTATTTATTTATCAGAATCTCAGATTGCTGGCGACAAAGCAGGGGCTTTGTTTCTGGTAGCCACATGGCTACTGATGATGCTCCAGATCGAATGTCTGTCTGGCTGCCGGGGAAAGTGGCATGTGGCATGTGGCATGTAGCATGTGGCAGGGACTATTCCGCCAATTCCAAGCAACATGTGGGCTATAATCATTGTTTATGGATTATGTAGCAACTACAGCAGCTTTGTAATCAACGAATGTGGTTATCAGCACTGGATTTTATGGTTTTTTTAATCACCTTCAGAAGTATAGGCCAGAAGGCAGTTGTAAAGTAAAACCGAATAATTTAAAGATGCAAAGGGAGGGAAAAATGTATGGCCACTAAACAAATGTTGTTGATTGGGAATATGGAAAAGCTTGAAGAATCATAGAGGGGATGGAATGCGTGCGTGTGCTTGTGTGTTTAATGATAAGATCGCATAAAAGTGTGGCAAAAGAATGCTCGGAATTCTCGGGGGCATATGGTTAATAGAGTTTTTGAATTCTATTTTTAAGAAATACTCTTTCTGCCTCTCCCTCTAGGCGGCACCAAATCCAACATGGATCCGGCGCTGATCAACTTTAAGGTGCTGTACGTACTGACGCAGCTGTGCGGCCTGACGATGATCGTGCTGGTGGGCACCTGGATAGGGCAGCACTTTGGCGGACTGGGTGGAAGTTCCAATCCCAAGCTGGAGTTCAACTGGCATCCGCTGTTCATGACCATTGGCTTCATCTATCTGTATGGCAACTGTGAGTAGAGCTGCAAGCTGCAAGCGGAAGAGGTGCAGACCGCCGACAGCAGACTGCAAACTAAACTCCACTCCCATTTCAGCCATTCTGGTGTACCGAGGCTTCCGCACCACGCGCAAGAAGACCCTGAAGCTCACCCACGCCGGCATCCATATGGCCGCCTTCGTTCTAACAGTCATTGCCCTGAAGACGGTCTTCGATTCGCATAACCTGAACAGCCCGCCCATACCCAACCTGTACTCGCTGCACTCATGGCTGGGCCTCTCCGCTGTGATCATCTTCTCGCTGCAGTACGTGGCCGGGTTCGTGGCATTCCTCGCACCGGGGATAAGGGAGAACTACAAGATTGCCATGATGCCGCTGCACATCTACTTTGGTCTGTTTGGCTTCGTCCTGGCCATTGCAAGCGCCGTCATGGGCCTCACTGAGAAGGCAATCTTTGCAATGTGAGTGGATCTTTGATTTGCGATTTTCTGACAATGTCTAAAGTATTCCCTCTATCTGCAGCACTTCTCCACCGTACTCCACCTTGCCACCTGCTGGTATCCTGGCCAATGTAATTGGAGTCCTGTATGTGGTATTTGGTGCTCTTGTGGTCTACCTGGCCACGGAGCCGTCGTACAGGCGTAAGCCCATACCCGAGGACACGGCTCTGCTAAGCTCCGGCTCTGCCAATGAGTAAGGCACTGCTACTACACTGCTACACACACCCCAAACCAGCTGCTATGCTTATATTTATGCTCAAAACTGTGCACAAAACCCAAACGAAATGGAAACCTGATACGATGTGGTGCTCTGTTGACGATTCATGCTGTTTATTTTCGTTGAGATGCATGTTTTACCCCCTAGTATCAATATATATTTAATGTGACTATGTGTAATGGAAAGCTATCCACATACTTATACACAGATTACCAGTTGTGAAAAGACGTCTGCGAGTGCTCAAATCGAACGTATTTAACCTCATATAGAACATTTGCTTATATGAATATCTATGTGTGTTATATATTCTTAATAAATCTATATTAATACTAAGTGAGAGGTGCAGGATCGGTTGGCTCCTTCTCCTACTCCCCTACTGGGACATCGTCGACATTTTACAGATAATCGACCGTAACTGTCTCTTCAGTGCTATCTGAGGACGTCTCGGCCTCTTCTTTATTGTGCTGAAACTTCAGGGAGTCATCCAGGTCCACCAGATATGTGGGATAGTTGCCCAAGCCTTTCAGCCAACGTTGCCCCCGATAGGCGCACCTGATGTTGAAGCGACGCAGCACCTGGGCAGTGGCCTCGGCCACCTGGATAGCGCCCGGTAGTCCGCTGCTTGTCAGGCGGGATGCCATGTTAACGGTGTTGCCCCAAATGTCATAGTGCGGCTTCGAGAGGCCCACAACTCCAGCCATTACAGGCCCATGAGCGATGCCTATGGCGATGTGAGACTGCGGTAAGAAATCCGGGTACTTCCAAAAGGTGGGAGGGGGACAGATCTTACCGATTTTCAGGAACCCCCGAGAGCTTTTCGGCAGATCGAGCTCGTAGAAGATATCCGCCACCTGGATTTGGTTCATGATGCGCAACAGATTAACGGCAAATTCGGTCATGACCACAACGGCGTCGTCCAAAAATACGTTACTTTCAAAGCCCTCTGATGCTGTTGCCGTTTCGAAGCGTACACTATCTGCGGATATTAACTATTCAAGAGCTTGCTATGGTAAGAAGATGGAAATGCCCACTTGATCTATTCATTGGCTCCGAAGTATTCTCTTTTTTGACAGGAATATTGATCGAGAAGTCGGTATAATGATCCACTTCGAGACCACAGGCAGCCAAGTACGTCCAGCCCATCACTTTGATCTTCTCGATCTTGTATTTGTGGCCAAAGTTCACCAGCAGCTCGTCAAAGTAGCAGATGAACTCGTGCAGCACTCGGATGCCAGCCCGGTCAGCCTCGTAGTTCTCGATGGAGGCGAACATCACGGCCACATTCTTAAAGTTCTCGTAGAAAAGCTGATCGTTGCGTCGTCGCTCAAGGAAGGTGTTGGCTACATGCGAGGGCAACATGTTGGCCATAATGATCTTTATGGACTTTGTTGTGTCCTCTGTCTGCTTTCGCTTCTCCTCGTAGCGCTCTCGGATGCTGCAAAGAAGGTAGGCAATTGTATTTTGTATTGTATTGGATACGGTGGATGTGGATGCTTACAAAAAGGTCGCCTTGTAGATATAGGTGGAGTGACGCTGCTTGATCGAGAGGGCTATAAAGTAGGCAATCAGATACCAGGTGTGGGCCCATTCCGCCTTCAGGTTCATATTTGTGGTCTCCGATCGCTCGAAAGCGAATCCGTAGTGGGCGTGGATGGTGAACAGGTGGCAGCTGAGGATGAGCAGACCCAGGCCCATCTTGAAGGCCAGCGCCATGGCACCGAAGTAGAACAGCAGGCTGAGCACAATGATCACCGATTGAGTAACTACCCAAGGATGGAAGCACATCATCTGAGGATCCTCGTCGGCCAGATCCGACTCGATTAACTCAAACTCAAACTCGGCCCTGTTGCACGATAGCTGTGAAAGGGAGTGAGATTAGCTTTGACCACCAGTTAAATCAATGCGAGTGGAGGAGGTTGCCGATGCGTACCACGCCGTTCGAGGAGATTATGTAGACAAGAAGAATGACAAATGCGGAGAGTGGTATGCCGACAAATATCGACTGCTGTTCGATATGCTCTGACACCCGGATGAGCCAACGGTTCAGGAAGAAGGAAGGCTGCCTCATGGGCGTCAGCAGATGGTACTGGACCCACAACTTCTTATAGCCGGCGGTCAAGCAGATGAGCACAAGCACAAACAGTATCACAAACAGCTCTTTGAAGTCCATGGACCTGCGAATGTGGATGATTATATGGGATCGAATCAGGTCTCTCAGTTAATTCTGCATACAAAGGCACTGTAGCATTCATGACGGTGATCACCACTGCAGCGATAAGCACAACGACTAGATTGTACTTCATCAGCAGGTCTGGCATTTTCATAAAGGCGCATTCCCTGCTCGAGCTGTGAAAGTGCAGCAAACAAAGGGAGATCTGGGAATTGAACAGTTGATCCTCGCTGAGGTCCTCTCCGTTACTTTTCGGTGCTCGCCAGATGTGGATGCGTCTACGGGAGGTATCTTTAATACAAAACAAAGGGGATAAGGAGTGTAGGTGTGTCTTCTCACTGTCCGACCGGCATGTGTTCCACCTCGTTTACTATCGTTTTCTGGGTCATCATCTCAACATCCTCGTAGATATTGCTAAAGCTCATGCGGAACGAAGTAAGCGAGACATCACTTGAATCCTGCTCCTGATCGTCGGGGTCTATAAAGTCGGAATGTCGACTACTGACCAAATACGTGGTGACCTCCGCCTTCTGCAATATGCGGTCGTTCTTGGCGTTGTCTGTGCCATCCTCGTATACGTACTCGTCGTTCAGCAGGTTGAGAGTGCGATTGGAGATGTGTACCTTGCCCGGCTCACCCCACATTTCCAGGCGGTTGGTGATATCCACGTCCTTCGACCAGATGTCGTAATGCCACTTGATGTGGCCAATGACCCCAGCGAACACCTCGCCCGAGTGCACACCGATGCGCATGTCGATGTCCAGCTTTCGTTGCTCGCGGACCTCCTGAGTAATGCTGATCATGTCGAGGGCCTGGTCCACGCAGCACCTGGCGTGGTCGGGGTTGTATACGGGAATGCCGGAGACACAAATGTAAGCATCCCCGAGGAACTTGATCCGTAGCGCGTTGTTCCGCTTGGCGGCCAGATCGTACTTGACAAACAGCTCGTGCAGGATCTCGACCAGACTCTGCACATCCAAGGTGTTGGTCAGGTTCGTGTAGTGCACCATGTCGGCTACCAGTATGGACACATCCGGGTGGGGTTCCACAAAGAGTTTGCTGCAGGCGGATCATCAGTAAGGGAAGGTAAGGGAAGGGAGTCCTTAAAGTACCGTAATTTCGGGATCTTTTTACCCAGCCGTTCATCCTCGATCCGCATGCAGATATCCTCCTGCAGTGTATGCGCCACTTTGGCTGGCATAATGGACTCCAGTAGGGCTTTTTCGTTCTTCATAACAACCTTGAGCACAATGCCTTCGTAGACCAACTGATGGCGACTGAGAATAATGCGTCGTACTTGGAATACTCTCATCGTGAAAAAGAAAGACATTACGAGATTCTGGTAAAGGAGATAAATCGCATAGCACAGGAGGTCAGCACTGAACTTGCCCAACCGCCTGTACGAGCAACAAAAGTACACCAGGGATGCGGTCAGTCCCAGGATATAGGGCCTGCCTTTCTCTAAGAACGCAATCGGCAGATAAAAGTAAACAGCAACCAGGACAACGTGATCGTAGCAGGCCAGCAGCGGCTTGTAGTCGCCATGAGAAATTAGCACAAAGGTGTCTGAGTGGAGCACAGATCATATATCTAACGAAGAACTGAATCAATTTCCTACCCGTAATTATTAGCAGAAAAACCATCACCCAGCTGGCTATCATGTTGAAGACGTAGTAGTTGCGTTCGAGGTTATCCTTCAGGCAAACCATCATGACCAGTGGCGTCAGAACAATTACCAACAGGTAAGGAATCAATGCATAAAACCGTACATTCTGAAATCATAGAATATCGTCTTTTCAGATCCAGTGCAGACCGCCAATGGATCCTCACCTTGACCAGGGTCAGCAGCAGTATAATGTGAACCATCATCAAAAATTCTATGACCATAATAAACTGAGCCGCATTGTTGGCGGCCAAACGCCTCATGTAATGCCACACGCAGCCTTCCATTTGGAGCGCCCGGCACTTTGCCTGCAATGTACGAGCAGATAGCTTGAAATACTCGCCCCGTTTTTGCACAGTTCATTTACCTCCAAGTGCCTCCATTCTAGGGTCCGAATGTTGCCCAGCGAGCGGCCGTCTCCCACATCCTCATTAAAACTCGGCCGTGGAGAATCCATTGTGATTGTGCTAATATATATAATATAATTAATATTTTGTTTCTGATTTAATTACAAGCTACAAATAGCTTGATATCCTATAGATATCCGATAACTGAAAGGGCATGACACGCCCAGATCGCCACGAAAATAAAGAAAACCAAACAAAAACATGTTTTTTATATGTATGGCATACTTTTGGGATGTGATAAAATTTTTTTAACTTTTCAGGCATAATTTTAGGCTGACCCAATGGCTTAGAATTGCCACGTGACGGTCCTCACTCAGGAGAAAAAGGACATCGGAGGATTGTACGTCTAGTCGCAGAGGGGAAACTAAAATTTTTCAAATCGGACTAGAATTGGTGTACCTAAAGCGATTAAGCTGAAAATTAAAAACTTAAATGGCAATATCCTGGTTGTCCTTGAAGCCAAAGTGGTTGCAAGCGATCAAGGACACTCTTCCGATTACGATGAGTTTTGGCACTCCCAGATCGGACAAGATATAGCGGAGATATAGCGGATTAAATATGTATTTTCATGATGTGTAAATTAACATTTTCGGAAGGCTATATCTCAGACAAATGGGGCCAGATTGGCGAAGGACCTACTCTCCCAGGATCCTAGGGATCCAGCCTGTCGGTCGGCATCAAAATCTCGACCACGAAAATGAGGCCGATTTTTGACAAATTCAATGATGTAACCATCATGATTTTTTGCGAAAATCGTGATGAGCTCGATGTCCTTTTTTCTGATGCTAATCGGTTGGCAGGACTCTCCCGCTCACGAAAAGACATGCCGCGCCCAGATCGGCCCATCAATAGTCGAGATATAGCGTGCAGAAAAAACCAGTATTTTCATGATGTCTAAATTAACATTTTCGGGAGGCTATATCTCAGGCAAATAGGGCCAGATCGGCGAAGGACCTACTCTCCCAGGATCGTGGGGATCCAGCCTGTCGAATGGCATCAAAATCTCGACCACGAAAATGAGGCCGATTTTTGACAAATTCAATGATG